CAACAAATTACATAATTCACTGTAATAGGCACTAATAACATGTTAAAAAAAGGACCTTTTGGTTGACAAAATCCATATTATTGCTACAGAACATACCTTCTTACCAAGAAAAGGTCTGAATGCAGAAACAAAATTCGAAACGCACGAACATTCTTCGGCTATTATATCAGGAAGCTCGCGACTGTTCCTGTCTTTAATCGCTCGGTAAAGCTGAAGCACGGTCTCGAGGGCCTTGTTCTCATTATCTTGTGGGCCCGTTTCGTGTTTCGATACCGCCATGCGGCCTGTTCTCATTGGGCCGTTGCTTTTGGAAGCACCACACGAAAACTTCAAACCGTGAAATCTTTTTGCGCCTAACACAAAATTGGGAGGATTTTTTCTCATTAACGACGCAACGGAGTTTTTAGAGATTTTGCCTAGGAGTAATGCAGAAGGCATACAGCCTGAGGCCATGTGGCCTAATGAAGCTTGTTTGGAAGATGATGATCATGATCAAGAAATGTGGCTATGTTAATGTCCCAATTGGAAAAGCTAGTGCTGAACTACTGTATATGTTGTGGAGAATAAAGCTAGGTTCGCCATTGCAAGTTTAGAATGTTTTTTTTTTTTCTTTTTGTCTTTTATCAACACTTCAAAGAGTTTGAGAAGTTAGGATACACGAGGCCTAATCTAGCTAGTACTAATGTCTTCATGCATAAGAAATGGTGTTTGCTACAATTTTGTGTTTCTTATGATTATGGATTTTAAATTAATTTTTAATAGTTGATAGCTTTTAACATAATTTTGGGCTAAAATGTCAAAAGATCCTCTTTTTTACTTTGAGACATGAAAATGGTCCACTTTGAGTTTTAGTCCGGTAAGTGAAAAAAAAATTAGAAATATTGCGTCTTGGGTGGAACCACAACCTCTGTGCCTGATCTGACCTCCGCCTGGTTGCTCGGGCCTGCGACTGCAACTGGGACCGCTGATGAGCTCCCTTAGCCCACAGGATTAGGTATCGGGGTCTGAGAGAAGTCTGGAGGTGGACCTGCTCCGAACGGACGCGTGGTGGTCCACCCATCGTCATAAGTGTGCTCTAAGTTCTTCCTATGAGCTTTGTTTGCCATGGCAATATTGTTTTGATGAGTTTTTGAACGTATTCCTCACAGACGACGCCAAATAGTGTGTGTTCGACCTGTGTCTAGCTCACACGACCTGGACCTGCTCTCTGACATGCAAAATAGCCCAGAAGAGTTCTCAACGTTAGCACTCCGACGATCAAGTCCATTTTCAAATGAAGAAGACGATGAACGAGTAAAAGAGTGTAGAGAATGTAATGTTTGAATTGACATATCTCACCCCTTTATGTAGGTCTGTGTTATCTTATTGTCCAAGATTGCCCGGATGAGCTACCCAGCTTGTTCGAACTGCTCGTCTGTACTGCTCAAATTGCCCAATTCTGTTAAGCCACGTGACTATCCAATTCTTATCTTAATAATATTGTTTCTTATCCATTAGTCTGTATTATTAGACGGTTTAAACGTGCAACCGACCCGATTCACCACAAAGTGGAGTGTTGTCTGCAGTAAGCTCATATACTATGTTCTTCTGGTCGATAAGTCGACTAGTCATGCCTTTAGGTCGAGTTTTAGTTAGGCCGCCCGAGAGCTCTATCTCAACCTGTCGGTGTTCATTTGGACATGTGACATCCTCATCGACCTTAGGACTTTTTGCTCTATGAGCTCATTCGATCTCCGCTCAACCTAACTGTAGTTCCATTCAACCCACCAGTTTTGTCCGATTAAGTTGGCTGGTTTATCTGTCTATTCCATTCGGTATGATATTCCATCAACAGCGAAATTTATAATAGAATAACAGTTAACTATTATATGATAAACAATAATAAGTAAATTTGATTTTCTTATATCACCGAATAAATATGTATACTAAAATTAAATTTATATTAATATAAATGTGATAGAGAAATAATATATTAATTAATTTACAAGTTAATGCTAACAGACTCAGATTTAACGTTATGACTAAAAAAACATTGATGATTAAAATATGTGAACTTAATTGGGCCGAATCGATAATGATGGCTTCCTAAAATGCATATGCAGCGGGCCTTTCAAAAATTCCAGCCCTCTAATAAATTGCTCATAAAATATCCTTTGCCTCTTTAGGATCGAACACTCCAACCTGAAGATCGGAAGAAACTCAAAGCGAGGGAGATCCAAAACAACAATGGCGGAGGATTTGGTACTGGACACAGCTATTAGAGATTGGGTGCTTATACCGCTTTCAGTGGTCATGGTCCTCATCGGAATCCTCCGTTACTTCGTATCTAAGCTCATGCGCTCCGACCAAACCCCCGATCTCAAAATCGTCAAAGAAGGGTACTTTTTGGTTTGTCTTTCTTATTTGTTGAAGGTATTGACTTCCAAGAGTTCATCATCATTCTCGATTCCCTTGATTTTGTTTTTGCGGCCAGGCAGTTGATAATTAGGGCAAGAAATCTTCGGGCGGCGGCCAATTTCATCCCGGCCAGGTCGTTCCGTGCTCGCAAGCACTATTACAGCAATGAGGTATTAGATTATTCCATGTGCAACTTTTTTGTTAGTGGTGGTTGTGGTTTGGTTTCGGCTCATACTGCAAATTCTTATGTTTTTGGGTTGAATATGTTATATTATGAAGGATAGCGATCTTGTTGCATAAAATATTTATAAAAAAAAAAAAAGTTTTAGTAAACTTGTGGAGATGAGTGAATCTATAAAATTCAGAAATTAGAACACCGATTGTTGAACGTATAAGAAGCCGTGTAATTTCTAGGAACTATAAGCACATGAAAGGCGCTCTTTTTGATCAATTTAGCTACAATGTATTTTTGTATAAAATTATGCTGTTGTCATATTATGCACCAACATGTTCAAAAAGAGAAAAAAGTACTGGGCACTATAGTTATGTACACTCCTGTTGAAATAGTGCTGCTGTTGATACTTTGATGGATATGTTGGAGTCACTAACATATGTAATGTTTTGCATTAGTTACTGATGAGAATCATTGGACTTCAAATGTCAGGAGGATGGTTTATTACACGTGCCTAAGGGCCAAGGTCAGAACCCACAGGCACAGATGTTCTCAGATCCAAACATGGCTATGGATATGATGAAGAAAAATCTCTCGATGATCATTCCACAGGTATGATTTCCGTGTATGTCCGTGTTCAATTTTATTTTCATATTTGAGAAAATGTGTTTACTGTAAATGTGTGTTTATTTCATTGGACAGACACTCACTTTTGCGTGGGTCAACTTTTTCTTCTCTGGATTTGTAGCAGGTTTGTTTGTCTTATTTTCATGTTTGACCCTATCTTCATACATTGGTATCTCGATGTGAGATTTGGACCTTTGGTTATTCATGTTTGACACAGTTAATTTTTATGTAATAGTTTTATGTTTTCTTAATAATACTTATTATCATTTGAAAAAAAAGAAAAAGAGTTAAATTTTGGATCAAACATAAATTTATCATCCTAAGTTTTTGTCTTCTGAATTTCCATACCCTAGTAACACTGACATGGATAGCTGCTCATCTTGTTTTCCAGCAAAGATTCCATTTCCACTTACTCAGAGATTTCGGGGAATGTTGCAAAACGGTATAGACTTGAGCACTGTGGATGTAAGCTACGTCAGCAGTCGCTCCTGGTATTCTTTCTACTCATTAATACGATAATATCACCAACGACACATATTTGCTTGTGGATTTAGCATTATCATTGGTGTTCATAATGATTTTGCTTTATTTGGTAGGTATTTTCTCAATCTATTTGGGCTACGAGGACTTTTTAGCCTTATTCTTGGAGAAGATAATGGTCAGATAAACTTTTCCTTAATGTTTCTTCCGTGCGTACTGTTAATGAATAAATTGAAAAATTAGTTTGGCTTTTATTGGATACTGACCCAATCATTTGGCTTTGATCAGCAACTGATGATACACAACGCATGATGCAAATGAGCGGATTTGGATTTGATCCTACAAGAGTAAGAACTTTCTTTATCAACTTTACATGCTTGTGACAAATAGGAACCACTAATTTATCTAATCACCTTTAATTATTTTATCTCGATTCCCACCCCCTGTGAATACATTGGTGTTCGACGAACTAGTGTTTCTAGGGTTGCGATTGGAGGTTAAGGGAGTATCAATGAGCGAATGAGGAAGTTTTTGCTCACGTTTATGTTCTGATTCGGAGGAGATTATTTTTTTTTTTAGTTTGGACGTCTTAGTGATTTGTTTTTACATGTCTGCTGGAAGTAATCCCCATCCATGTTCTAGCTTTGACTTGAGTCCCTACTAACCCTGGGTACATCAATCAGTGCCACCCAATTCGAACTTTCTGCATCAAGTATGTTAAATTGAAAATTTTGTTATTTGCCTGCCTGATTTGATGTGAGGAGTGTTTGGAGCAACATGAAAAGCTAAAAGTAGTTCAAAGCTTCTCTTGGAGAGAATAAACTAAGATAGGTGTATGGTTGACACTAAAACATGATAATGCGAGTTGTCAACCCTAACCTGTTTCTTGTGTGCGTATTTGTGTTGCCAACAGACCCACAATGCATAAGCATTTTGAATATTTGCGACTTCAAATTGATTTCTTTCAGACCATTATTGACATTTTATCTTTTTTTTTTTTGACTAACTGTGGAGATCCCTGACCAGTCCCAACCACACATTGCTGGCTAATGCTCTCTAGTAATCAATCTATCACTTAGATTTCACCAATTTTTTCCTAAACCATTTCCCCAAGGTGGTCAAGCCTCAATTCCTTTTTGCTGTAGATGACTAAAATCCTTGGTCTTTTGGTTATATAATGTTGAAAAGCTAACAAGCTGGATATCTGTGCCTACATTGACATAGGCATTTGTCACGAGATTAGAGCAGTTAGGCAAATTTGTTGGTCTGAGTAGTTCATTTATGATTTATATATGCTGTTTTTTTATGCAAGCAAATATTTATATTTCTTGCTCTTAAGATTGCTTGTACTGAAATCTGAGTATGGTGTGTGATGTTCAAGCATGATTCCACTGCCTCTCTTAAGAAACAAAAAGTTGGGTAATTATTATGTTTGTGTCAACATCTTATGGTTTATATTTATGGACCAGAGCCTGGGAGCGGAGAAAGATAATCTGGACATTGTTCAGCATGAATGGGCCTTGCCGAAATTCGAGCAGCGAGCAGAAGCTGTTCTGAAGAAACTTGTGAGCTGAAAATAAAGAGCATCAGAAGTCTTTATTCTTACATTACTGTTCATTTTATCCACCCGTGCCCACGTGTTGGTGATTTCTGTTGCATGACGAGTGAAAAGAGTTGGCATAGGCATCAAGTACGTGCTTTTTGAGCAACGGATTTCTTGGCCTTGCTACTTTAGTCGAGTGAACTATATATGATGCTGGATGTTGATTTATTCATATCGGCCGTTAGAATATTATGAAAATTTAGTTCAAAGTGTTTTTAATATGACTGTTCCGCAAGGAAATTTTATCTGAATTATTATGTCCAATGGTTTAGGGTATAGTTGCATTTGCTATGGTTTGCTGGTATTGTAACTTGTAAGACCTCAAAACAGAATTTATGAATGAGAGACTTATTCCATGACCAGATGAATCTGATTTGATGCTAGGGGTGGACTTTTATGTCGTTGAGCATTCTGTGTTATGTGAAAAGTGAACTGCGAAAAGTAGTTCCTGCTATAAGCATCCGTGTTGTACGAGGAGTTGAATCTTAGGGATTTACGGCATCCTTTTGGGGAGTTTGCTGGTTAATTGGTTAGCTATTAGTCAAAGAATCCCTCACCATATTTTTTTAACAAAAACATATATTTATGTTATGGAATATCGTATTTTTGTTTATGTTGTCTTTTTAGAACATGATATTTGAGTTTGTAAGTATTGCCTGTTGAAAAAATCATGAGCTTCTAATTTGTCATGTATCCAACATATGGGGAATGGGCTTTTATTAGAAAGTTATATTATATTAGTATTTTAGCTACTTATTTTATATATTAGTTTTACTATAGCATGAGATGGTTTTGGGCTTTAGTCATGTGTTAGGAGGAATTGAGCTTGGCCTTTATTATAATTAGTAGGTGAATGATTTAGTATTTGTAATAGTTATCTATAAACAGGGTTGGTACCAAACAAGTTACCAGAAAAAATACATAACAAATTCTCTACCTCAATTCTCTTTACTCTCTAATTCCCTCTCCTCCCCACACGTTTTCTGCCCTCTTTCTTCTTCCCCAAATTCCTTCTCCAAAATTATAAAAAATTCCATACAAAATACAAAAGAAAAAAATCAGAATTTTCTGTACGGATGCGATCAGAGGAGCATGAGTTTCTTCCCAGATCTGTTCCAGCTTCGGTGCCAGTCGCTCGCGGGGACTTTGTTTGAAAATTTGATAAGTCCTAGGGACTTATCTATAGTATCAGTAGTATCAGGAATTGTATTATTGCAATTTAATTCATGAGTCAAATTTGTATTTTTTTTTAAAAAAATAATAAATGCACAATATTGTGTGTAGATATGCACATTAAAAATACTTGTGTAGACATGCACATTAAAAATACAATCCTATTTATATGAATTGTTAAAAATTTAATAGATAACATAATTGATAAATAAATTTGACGAAGACGCCCTTGCATTCTTGGATAAACATGATCAATTGGATCCTTTAGTCTAGTTATTTATTTCCACCACCATCATCATCATTACTACTACCTTTATTTACATTATTTAAATGGTAGGTGAATATTTATTCTTTTTCTTTTTCTCTTATTCTTGTCGTGGTTTCTCTTGTTCTTGTCCCATTTGTTACGCTTCACTACATCAGTTAGTATCCAGATAATAGTACGATCCAAGATGCTGCCATCGAGTCGGACTGCATACGAAAGGCTAATGCTGCCATCGAGTCGTTGGGTTGGCAAGTGGGGAATTTATTGCTGGATTTGGATTAGGGCTGCAAACAAGTCGAGTCGAGTCGAGCATTGGCCTTATCGAGTAGGATTGAGTTTTTTTTAGCTGCTCGAGCTCGACTTTTGAGGCTCGAGCTCAACTCGAAATTAAAATGCTCGAGCTCGGCTCGGAATTTTTTAAGTGGAAAGGTAAAATTACCATTAAGCACCTATGCTAATATATATAATAAAGGGTATTTTGGTAATTTAACTTATATCTCGAGCCGCTCGACGAGGCAAAATATGGGCTCCAGCTCGACAAATCAATTTCATAGGACGTTAGATTGCAGACTTGGCCCCGGGGTTCGACAAGATACATTTGGTTGACTATACCAGTGTTCCACGCGATCGGACGAACCGCTCTCATTACAGGGGACGCGGTGGGATGCGCAAGGGTCGCGATCGGGGTCATGACGGGGTGCCCTGTTCTCGGTCGCCTCACTCGCGAGTAGGATAGAGTGACGACGAAGACATCTTCTCCGAGTTCAACCCTTTTGGTCATCATCAGACGCGAGACGACGTTTTGTGGGTCAAAGATTGTCGATGGGACTCTTCTTTTCACGTCGACATTTAAGAGTTTCATGCGGCTTGGACGCGTCGGAGTTCCTCGATTGGATGACAACACTTGAGTCCGTCCTCGACTATAAGGAAGTTCCAGATGCCCGACGCGTGGTTTTGGTCGCAAGCAACATCACAAGGACTTGCGGTGCTGGCTTGGGAAATCAAAAGTTACGTCTTGGGCAAAGTTTCGGAGCATATTGAACGTAAGTTCCTTCCTTTTAATTATGTACGTACCGTTTATCAACGTATCCTAAATTTGCACAAGGGTCACATTAGATGGACGATTACATTAAGGAGTTTTATCGACTTCTCACATGGAGCGATGTACGTGAGACAACGAGGGACCAACTCGTCTTTCTTTATATTGGCCAGTTGCGCTTAACCATCTAAGACACACTAAATCTATTCGTGCTTGATTCCGTATCCGATGCGCCGTCCTCGTGGAGCAGTAGCTTACGCGATAGGTTGCAACCTCTCTTTTGCCGGCAGCACGGACAGATGAGACAACCTCCCAACCGCCCCTCGGCCTCGGTGACGGGCCCAGCAGCAGGAGGCAAGCCCGCGGGGGGTCTGCAATGCTTCTCGTGCGGCAAGCTGGGCCACCGGTTGACGACTTACCCGCAGCCCAACGGCTTCCGCACGCTTCTCGCAAATGATAGCGGCTGCCAGGAGTATGCGCGTTCTTCATTGTTTAACTAAGAGCCATTTCTGGAGGAGGTGCATGTGCGCGACAATGTCGGTCCGACGTTTCTTTTTTTTTTCATTTTTGGCATTCGAGCTTCCTTTGTTTCTTGGAGATGTTTCTCAGCCAACTTTGATGCCTTTCAAGATAAATCTAGCACTGTAGAACATGTCCCAAATCTTAGAACCAAGAGAACTCCAATTATTGCAAAGCTAGAGGGTCTTGCAGCACTTTCTTGCTCGAGGCTTGGACTCATCAACTGGCCAAGCGCATTTCAACACTATGTTTGATTATGATGGTGTGAGTTGCTCTGTGTCCGGTATGTCAGATTTTACGATGGAAATGAATGTGGATAGTCCACCCAAGTCCAAATATGATACATCATTGCGTGATCTTGTGGATGCAGTCGATGTGGACAAGCGACTTGCGGATGCGCGTCGTCGCCATGACGATTTCAAGGTGGGGGATGATGTGTGGGCCGTATTGACGCCGAGTGGATTTTCTGCACGTGCGTATACCAAGTTGTCGGCTCGTAGAATGGATCCAGTTGAGATTGCGGAGAATTTCGATCCAAATGCATATCGCCTCCATTTGCCTTCCCACATGCGTACCTCAGACGTCGTCAATATCAAACATTTGGTGCGGTTCCATGACGAGATTTCGGACGGAAACGAAATTCGACTGGATTCGAGGATGAATCATTCTCTACCAGGGGAACATAATGAAGACGAGATTGCCCTTGCATTCTTAAATAAACACGATCGATTGGTTCCTTTAGTCTAGTTCTTTATTATTATTATTATTATTATTATTATTATTATTACTCTTATTTGCAATATTTAGGTGGTAGGCAAATATTTATTTATTTTCCATTATCCTTGGCAAGTTAAGTAACTTAGAACTGAGTAGGACTTTTATTTAAGAAGACTTCTCTTCTTTTGGAGGGGGCCGATCAACTGAAATAAAAATTATATCGGCTGAGTGAGTGTTTTCTCTTGCTTTTTTCCCATCCGTTACGCTGCACAGTTGTGCTACATCAAAATTCTACAATATTGTGTATAGATACGCACATTAAAATACTGTTATATTTATATGAAATTCTAAAACTGTCACTGCCTAAACAGTTAAAAGTTAAAAAAATTACCAAAATATCACAACGATTTTCAACTTTTATGAAGAACTGAACAAAAAGAACCTTATCGAGGTTCATTATGGTCACAGAATTTCTCTCCAATCTCTATTGCTGCAGCCCTCAAGTCCTTCTCCTGATTTTTTTTTTCTTTTTTCTTTTTTATTTTTTTCCTTCTAAGCTGTGCATGACCCCACATCATCATCCAGTTGAGAAATTGCTGGACACTGGGGAAGCCTTCCCCTTTCCATGTCGTCTACAACGACTAAGCAGCACATCAACAGCTACAACAGCCTTCTCCACCCAACTCTTGCTATCCGGTATCCTGTAAATCAGTTTGCCAGCTCGAGTTTCAACAGACCAACAGAATATTTTATTTATTTATGTTTTGTTTCATAGGAAATAGATACATGTAAAACTTTCATCATCATATATTAATAACAAAATTCAAATCAACAAACAGATCAAGAATATTAGAAATGTTGGAACGATCTGCTAATGAGAATCTAGAAGGAAAACAAACGGCACATTTAAAAAATGTGTCACCTCTTAACCTAAGAAGTCGGTCGACTTTTGGTTCATCAGTTGAGGGCACAACATGATTCACGTAAAATTACGAGGCATAAAGCACAAGGCATAGAGATTGAGGCAGATAAGACGTAAAACATCTACAAATAAGTGAAATCGCTAGTGGGAGAGGGCAGCTGGATGGGAGGAACCATTCAGATATGCTCAAGCTTCAAAAGTTGCTTGACCATGTTAACATTTTGCAACTCCTGCCTAAGCATTCTAAGGAATAACTAAATTGAAATGCAATTTCTAATATCTATTTTTTGTAGTTGTAAGTCAATATCTCTGATGTTTTATTTAAAATTGTGGAATCCAATTTTGGAAGAGGTAAATTAATAGGAAATAACGTATGTCAGTGCTCACAATTCAAATCACCAAAAGTACAAATTTTGTAAAATTATTTTACCTACTAGATATCACACTCATTCATCTATAAATGCACCGGCAACATTTTGATAATAAGCTTTTTTGTACTTTCAGGTAATGGTACCTGCAACAAGGAAAACCACAATTGGCTTTAGACAAGTTCAATGCTGAAACAACAACTGCCTTTTCAGGACCACAAAAAATATAAAGAATATAAGTGACTAACACCATATGCATATATATATAGTAAGCTCGAAAAAAAAAAAAAAAAAAAATTGCACCTATATATTTTTTGCAAGCTTCAAGTTGCTCGAGCAACTGAAAATCCATGATATGCGACGTCCAACACTTTCTTTTGTGGATATTCAGAGCAAATATAAATTTCATGAAATAAACAGGAAAAGTTTAATATGCTGCGGTTAACCTACCTCTAGTGCTTTTCTTCCTCCTTTCAGTTTGTTGAATTAAAGCACCAAATTAAATCCCTCAGACAAAAAGTCATCCCTGATAAAAGAGGGGAAAGAAGATGAAGTTCTTTCATCAAAGAATAAATTAAGCTCAAATAAAAATGAACGGAAGAATAAAATATATTTCCTGCACGGCGAAGGTATTCCTAGGTCAGTTATCTTAAACAAGTAGCATGCCCAACAATGGTGAATCTCAGATCCATAAGGGTGACGCAAGGAAACGAAACTTTTATCATTAAGTCACCATGATCACTCCCAGAAAAGAGACATGCACAATACCTCATACCAGATGCTCGTTGTATATGATTAAGTTATAATTTTAATGATTAACATCCATAGGAGAAG